TAGGAAATTTTTAGTGAATTTGATTAAGTTTGAAATTTTATGCTGCAAATAATGGAGTGAAAATGGCTCAGAAGTGATCATTTGCATGGATCAAATGTAGAGTTTTACGTAAACGCATTCAATCCCTCTAGGTCAAACACTCTTTCTAATCCAAATGCAAACTTGGTAATCAATTGATAGGATGATAACGATGTTATCACTAATCGGTTTTGTCATTAACTATTAAGCTTCCACATCATAATGGTGAATGCACCTGACAGATGAAGCGATACGGGTGAAGCCTCATATTGAATGGCAAAGCGCAGTTTGACTTGGCATTAAAATGCAAAAGATGCAACTTTCTCAAACATGTTTGAATGTTTTGATAACGGATACAAGCCTGGCAAATCATGGCCTGGCTCAAGCTCTCAACGATATCAATGATATTGCTACACCAGTCGGTTTCTGCGCGAACGGGAAGAAAGTTTTGCTCAAAACCGAGTGGTGTACCAATATAATCAATGTTTTCAGTTAAAATTCTGTCAGAAATAAAATCTCTATTGGAATACAATTATTCCTTATCGTCATTCATACACAAACAACGGGCGGCGGCGCCTTACCCATTTGTATGAGTGCAGCGGGTAGTGCGATAATGCCACCACCAGCGATGTCGCCGATGACGAACAGTCCAGTGATGAACCAACCAAGACCTTTTTCTTTACCAGGATGATAGTCTTTCTGCTCTGGATCGACGATTTTCATCGATGAATCGCTCACCGCTATCGATGATTTGTCAACAGTCATTCTGCAATTTACTGCAATTATCATTGTAATCATTCACGTGAATTGAATGAATGAATGCATTTGAAGCGATTGAAGAAGGCATTTTTCACGTTCAATTGCAGTCAACGACCTCGCATGATTTCTGCTCAGTGATCAACTAAGAAAAATAAACGAAATTCAACGAAAATTCAGCATTGCCACTCGATACCATACACTTATGAATTAATTGCTCAAGTGAGAATTCCATTCGTTTTTACTTTCGAAGCATTCTTCAAATTATCATACGACTGATATGAGACGACGATACCTCAATTAGCAGTTAACAAGGCACTAATTTTTCTTGAGTTGTTGGCAATACTCTAGCAGTATTGTCGAGAACAATTGACAATACTGTGACTGAGGACTTCTTCAAGGAGTGATCGTATTTAAACGAGAATTTTGGAGCAATAAGTGATCAGTGATCAGTGCGATAAGGAATCATCAACTAAAGTTACGCAATTTAAAATCATAACAGGAATGAATTTGCCAGACACACGCAATTTAGAACTGGGTTTTGCCAGACACGCTCTATTGTTGAACTCAACAATAAAATAGTGCACCAATTACGTGATGGTTTTTGAAAGTGTCAAAAAAATGAAATTCATGACGGAAATAAAATGCTGACAAACATGTCATCACGTTCGTTAGTATGGAGTTTAAGATAACTCAACAATTTCCAGTGATATGTGAACTTGTGATTGATAAGGTATAAGGTGTAGTTAAGGTATTGATAAGGTATAGTTAAGGTATTGATAAGGTATAGT